ATATATATATATATATATATATATATATATATATATATATATATATATATATATATATATATATATATATATATATATATATATATATATATATATATATATATATATATATATATATATATATATATATATATATATATATATATATATATATATATATATATATATATATATATATATATATATATATATATATATATATATATATATATATATATATATATATATATATATATATATATATATATATATATATATATATATATATATATATATATATATATATATATATATATTATATATAGTTGTGCCTCGCTTACACACTGCTTAATACGCACAAGAGAGCAATAGGCAAATATCTTTACATATAAAAAAATTTAAATATTAAGGATATATATAGGATATAATAAGAATAGATATAGAATATAAATATAAAGGATTAAAATATTACAAAACATATTATTTTCTAGCCTACATAAATATGAAAACTCACTGCTTTCATGTCTTCTTCATCTCGGGAGGCTTTTTCAGTTCATTCATAGCAATTTGCTTTTGTATAATGTTATTATTATTAGCAATATTATTTAATATATCTATATTTATATTCGTTTTATTAAAAACAAGCTTAGCTTTGACCACCTGTCAGGTTTTAGACCATATGGGGCGCAGCAGGTGTTTTAGGATATAACTCAGGTTTTTGAGCTTATTTTGTTATTATTGTTCATTTATTCGTTTGCTGGAAATTAGAACTGAATTTAGAAATAGTTTTGAAACGAATATTTGCACTTAATAAACTAAATTAATCATTTATAGGCTAATTGATGTCTGTGTGTAAAGGTTTCCCTATCCAAGAGCGAAAGTAAAAGTAGATCCATTATCTCTCATTCTCACGCAGTAGATGCTCTGTTTAACAGTTTTCTGTTAAAATAACTGTGAACTGTTTGCTTGTGAAATGCAATTTTTTTCCACTTTGACTTACTTCACGTCCTGTAAATAGCAAATGCGCTCTTGGCGCGACGCAGTTGACTCTTAAAGGGAATGGGAGATGAGACTCTAATTGGTTTATTCTCAAAACACACCTATAACTCATTAAGAAAATAAACTCAACCCTTTTAGACCATGAACTGAAGCGCAAGGCAGATTTCCCGTCCTTAAATTAGCAAAAACACGTCCTGACACGCCCTGAAAGCGTTTGCGCCCTGCGTTTTGCGCTCTGCGCATCTACCGTCAAAATAGAGGCCTACGTCTTGCGTCTGATTTTTCCTTGATGCTGAAGTGCTTTTACATTTAGATTTCAATGAAATATTAAAATTTAAAGGGAAAGGAATTATTTCGTAACAAATGCTCTTAAATAATGTAGCCTTTGACAGTAGGAATTAGTGTTTCTTGACATGATTGGAAGAAGGGGGCAGTGCTGGATTTGTGCGTACCTTGGAATAAAATCCGGCAAGTGTCTCTGGTGCTCTTTAACAACTCTGTCCTGTAGGGACAATGTTCTGGAGAGCTTAGCTCCAACCATAGATATATACACTAGATATCGCATAGGGACCCTGAGCATGCGTCAATAGCGCCGCCACATTGGTACAGTGCTCCCAGGACAAATGTCATTCAACCGCACTAGTCAAGACAGTGTTATTACGTGAAGATGCGGGACTTTAGCGCTGTCTACGGGTGTAGTAACGAGCAAACAAAGAAAACAAAGCACAAAGGCAGAACATTTCATAGGTAATATTAAGTTTTTTCTGTTTTTGTATGTTCTGAACTTTTGTGCTAATCAGGTCACGTTATTGATGATAACAGTCTCTTACTGCATTCACCATACGGCAAAGCAGCTCCAACTCACACTAAACACTCGGCTTATGCTAGTTTTGTTGAATAAAATCAGCAAACAATGCAAAAGAAATATGACAACGAGATGCTGCGCTGCCAGAAACTTATTGTCGGCTAATGAAGGAGTCGTTCATAACGGAGATTCATTCACAAACGAATCGCTCCCTCCATCAGTATGAGAAGTAAAAGCAGGAGAGGAGCTGTGTTTCAGGACATGATTAGATCAAATTTAACAGGGAGGGTGAATAGTACATTTCTGTACACACAAACACAAGCTTTTTGTCAGGAATGCCCGTGCGGTCACTGATCCATCAATGTAGAAAAGTGATGTAAAATCATAATAGAAAAAAAAAATGACATACTAACATATGTGCATATCTCTGGCTTTGGATGGCCACAGTCCTCCACTGTACCTGGTCCCGCATTCATTTCAAAGGAGCGCTACCCTGTACCAAGATGGCGGCGCTATTGACGCATTCCGTCCAATAGACAACAATAAGCCAGGCGACATCTAATGTATATATCTATGAGCTCCAACCCTAAACAAACACACCTAAACCAGCTAATCAAGCTCTTATTATATATACAAGAAACTTTCTGTTGAAGCAAGTTGGGGCTAAACGCAGCAGGACACCGGCCCTCCAGGACTGAATTTGGACACCCCAGCTCTACACCTGACATGCGCCTTCAAGACGCTTCTCCACTCTCACTTGAACCACTCTCACTGGCAGAGCTGTGATAAAACAAAACGCTATTGGCTGTTGTATTTAAAGGGGAGGAGCTACTCTATGTCCCACCCTCTCTTCATGTTTCAGTTCAGATTACATCAAACATCGAATGAAAAGTGCACATTTACACAGGACTTTTAAGCTGCTTTGACATGATCTACAGTGTTACCGTTGGCCGTCTGTGGTCTGTCTGTCTGTGTCCGTCTGGATGTCAGTGTCCAGCAGAATCCCATATCGACTCAGTGTCTGAGGATCATAACCTGCATCCAACATCTCTTGCTGCTTTCCCACCTGAAAACACACGTAATTATTTAATATATTTTACGGTGATGGTTTTTAAAAATATCAATCAAAGTGCTCTCGGTATAAAGATTTTGCCTAGTAGGCTATAAAGGTGACCTATTATGTAAATATCCCTTTTAAAAGGGGTTTCAGCTAAGCAATATGTGAATATGTTTTATGGTGAGGAAGGCTTGACGGTGTTGAGATGGTGGTGCATCCTAATAAACACAGATCGAGTGTGAATGTGGTTGAGATACACACCTCAGTGTAGTACGCCGGAGGAGGAGAGAAGAACTGAACTCCAGCCTGACTCAGAGTTTGAGCAGTTTTCACGATGTCCTCGGTGTACAGGCCGATGTGCTGGATTCCTGCTCCTCGGTGCTCATCCAGAAACGTGTCCACCTGATTCCTGCCTGAAATCAAATAAAATATATAATGGCTAATGTAATACGGACACCACTAGATCATCTGCTAGTGAAGCACAATGCTGATCATTACTGAATAAAAACAAATAAAAACTTGCTCCATTGACTTTCCATTGTGGTGGGTGCCTCATTGTCATTTCTGATGAATAATAATAAAAAAACACTGTCTAATAGATACTATGTGACAAAATATAAAGAAGCCAAGCTTTAAAAAAAGTGTTTTAGATTGTCTGCATGGCCTTTAGATTGTGACATGTTGCGCTCTGTCTCAATAGTGGAGGTGTTGTCCTGTTTTGTTATGGGCATGTCTGTTTCACTGCCTTCAAAAATCAATATTGTTTAACTAAATTGGCTGTGCGCGCCTGTAATATGCAGTAGTTCTGAGATGTCACCTTGCTCAGGGAGAGACTCTGCGATCACAAACTTGCAGTCCGGCTCCTTTTCATCCTTAAAGGGCAGTTTTATTCCAGACTCACTGCATTTCCAGTATTCCATAGCTGTCAAACGCAGGCCGATCCCATCATGGTTCAACACGTATCCCTCGTCCACATCCTCATTCCTGCAAAACAGACAACTCCATTAGATTTTCTAGTAACACAATAATGCCAATATTTCTGCCAGATAAGGTATAATCAGAATGAGTTGTCATCAAACAGGTCATTTACACTGGGCCAATGTTTAATCCGAAGTGATTGGCATTGAATCAGTTTATGCACTGCTTGGGAATCTCTTATACTCAATAGTATTATATTTCTGCATTGGACAGACACTAAACACTGCATTCATTTCTTACCTGGGAACTGAACCATGACCTTGGTATCATCATCACCATCATACACTTATATTTAAAGATTCAACAGATGCTTTTATTGCATTTAAGGTGTACATTGCTGCTATTTGCATGATTACATTTATGCATTTGGAGACATCTGCATCCCCTTGGAATTGCTCTTGTGAACGCACACACCATAGTAACACTGAGGAGAAAAAAAACTGCTGAATTAAGTCATTATTTTTGTTTTATATGTGCACAAATCTATTCTCAAAGCTTGATCATATTCAATATATTGAACCACATGGTCTGTTTGAGGATGTTTCATGGTATTTTATTTAACATATCAAGACCACTGCAGTCCATATAGGATGATTAAGCCCTCAGATTTCATCTAAAATATCTTCTAAAGATGAACGAAGGTCTCAGGGATTTGGAACAACATGAGGGTAATTAATAACAACTTTAATTTTTGTGTGAAGTAACTCTTTAATTATAATTAAACTTTAATTCTATTAAAGTAAATCAACTTTTATTTGTAAAAAGTTTTGATTTCACTTTAGTTTTGATTTAATTTGTATTTTAAGGTTACTTTAAGGTTAATTTATTCATTCATTCATCTTCTGCCGCTTTTCCGGGGGCCGGGTCGCGGGGGCAGCAGTCTTATTCACACCAGACGCGGAACGCGCGTCAAGCGCGAGTGATTTACATGTTAAGTCAATGCAAACGCGCGAATAGACATCCTGCGGCGCGATACGTGGCGCGAATGATGAGAATTGCGCGGTGCGCATGGCGCGAATGGCATGCGCGAATTGAGCGTTTCGCGCGAATCACTCGCGTTCGAAAATCTGAACTTCAGCGGACATTCGCGCCGCGTTAACCAATAAGGAGCTTGCTCTTGTTGGGGCGTAAATTGTGACGTATCGCCTGTTGACGGTGTGCCAGGGGAAATCCCCCAGCAGACACCGACAAGAAGTTCATCAAACTGGGCTGGGCTCAGTCAGAAGCACCGCTGAAAACCTCCATCAGCCAGGTTCAGTTTCTGGAGGAGTTTACGAGCTCACAGAGCTGGATGCACCTCTGAAAGGATGTAGTGGACTCAGACACGGCTCTAAACGTATCGACGCTGTTTATCATCCTTCATAAAGCACATAAACACTGTTATTTTCTTCATGAAATCCATGTTAGCCATTTAGCTATGAAGCTAGAGTCACGGGGCAGACAATAGCCCTGCCCATCACGCAAATCCGCATCTGTTCTGAAGTGAATTTGACACACGAATGAAGCTGGGTTTGACGCGCGAATGACGCGAGTAACCTCAAATGTTCATGTGACTATTTACGCACGAATAGCGCGATTTATCCGCGCGTTCCACGTCTGGTGTGAACACAGCATTAGGAGAGAACCCCAGACTTTCCTCTCCCCAGACACTTCCTCCAGCTCCTCCGGGAGGATTCCGAGGCATTCCCAGGCCAGCCGAGAGACATAGTCCCTCCAGCGTGTCCTGGGTCTTCCCCGAGGCTTCCTCCCGGTGGGACATGCCTGGAACACCTCCCTAGGTAGGCGTCCAGGAGGCATCCGAAACAGATGCCAGAGCCACCTCAGCTGACTTCTCTGGATGTGGAGGAGCAGCGGCTCAACTCCGAGCTCCTCCAGGGTGTCAGAACTCCTCACCCTGTCTATAAGGGTGCACCCTGCCACCCTGCGAAGGAAACTCATTTCGGCCGCTTGTACCTGAGATCTTGTCCTTTTGGTCATGATCCAAAGCACATGACCATAGGTGAGAGTAGGAACAAAGATCGATCGGTAAAAAAGTTCTTTCATAAGGTTAATTTAATTGAACTTAAAAATTAAGGCAACCAGGGTGATTTTAAACAGTGTGACGGCAGCTGACCTGTCAATGAAGAACCTCTGGAAGCCAAAGTTCCTCCGGTACCAGTTGGTGATGTGTACAGTACTGCTCCGCGGACAGGCGTATGTGATGTGGTCGAAGTGAGTGATGGGACAGCGGGAGCGGTCTGCACCCTGACAGCCTGAGCTCACCTCACGGAAACCAGGCAGGAAGGGTCCCTGGTACCGGGAGCTGTCGATGAGTGTGTGGCACACGTTACCCACCGGGGAGCGCACGATGGAGAAGGTGACCCGGCCGCGGTCATCCTGGAGATTGAGATACAGTTGGTGTTATATACACACATTCATTCAGTGGCAACTTGTGACATGTTCCCTATATTGTTTACCACACTGCTTTGAATATTTAGTCTGGAATAGCATTCAAGCATGACTACAAAACAGCATTAGCACTATTTAACTGACTATAAACAATGAGGTACTTTGATTGTCTTTGGCTGCTAATATGATTTCCTCAGTGTTGGGTAAGTTACTTCAAAAAAGTAATCACTAACCACATTTTTATTTACTGGGTCTGAAAAGTAACTCAGGCCTTCAACAAGTTGTTACTTGACCCAACACAATGTAAAGGGTCACGAAACACCAAAACACATGTGTTGAGCTGTTGACAGTCGTATACGTGTCCCACACTGCTAAAAACACTATGAGGACACATATATTTCTCTAAAAAGTGAAAATTGGTTGTTTTTGCGTTATTTTCGAGCAAATTCGTATTTTCGGTTTGAAACTAAATTTTGAAGCTGCCTCACGGCTATGAGATCTTAGCGTGTATTGCTGCGAAGACTGGACGTCTGTACCTGCGACTGCCTTATTACATCTCTGAGTGTGCTGCATTAAAGGGCCATGACACCCCCAATTTCGGTTAAAGTCTACTTCAGAATTTTTTTTAAAGATGCATGATTAATGGGCGTGGAGCTCCGCGAGCATCGGGCAGGAGTGGGCGTAGCCAGCAGGGGAGAACGTGAGCGAACAACTGTTGCTGACAGTTAGCTCACAAAATGAGACACAAACCGTGAGGAGACGCATGAGTTTATAGTTTACAAAGTTAAAATAAACAGTGATTTAATGCCCTGCTACATTTGTTATTCGTAATTTCATATACACATAACCACAATTTATATCATTGTAAAGATAAGTGTGTTCATGTAAACACTACAAATGAGGACTTCTCCCTCAATCCCCATATCCAGCAGACTGCAGCAGGTCTCCAGACCTGTCTATTTTAACCGTTAGCCCTGCTGGTAATCTGGAGGATTTAGGCAAACACAGCAGCACAGTGATGTGTCTGAATGTGAACGAACTCCTGATAAAAGACAGCGTCCGCCATTCTCTAATTCTCGTGCTGCTCTCCCGACAAAAAATGCTAGCAGCACGCACACAGCTTTGCTGTATGATCGGCCCTGACAAGATCGCGGGAGAAAACATGCAACAAATCCTGTGGATCATGGAAACAAACGCATATGAGCCTTCATGGACGGCTAAATACTGTATGCCGTGGGTCTGTCTCACAGCTCGGGCTTGACTCTGGCAGGTCTCATGAATAATTAAGCAGCCGGCTCTTCTCATAGGATAAGAAACTCCGCTATGAATAATAATGAGAAACCGACGCGTCATCATTGCACTTGCAGTACTGCGCTACGTCGCCGATTTTGATCCCGCCCCAAAAATCATTTTAAACCCGGAAGCTGAAATTAGCTGACAAAAGCTCAAAATTATCCAGTTTTCCCCACAATTACAGCTGAGAGGTGCTAACATTGTCTTAACTGATGCTCAACACACACAAATCTGTTAATATAAAAAAAAGTTCTCCAGGGTGTCCTGAACCTTTAATGTATGAGTAAGGCTTGGTTCAAACCAATCAGCGCGCTCCATTGTGCAACTACATTAATATGTATGATAGCTTCCAAGACTGTACCTGAAGCAGTGTTCAGACGGCAGAGAGACGCCACGTTGTTGCCAAAACAAGTGGGAAAACAAGAATTGTTTGGAGTTACGGGTCGTCAGGGTTGCATTTATAATGTGCTGCAGTGAGCCGACTCACTCCATTAGTGCTCCATTTAGGACGATATTACATACATCTAAGTGCATAAGTACATAGTGTATAGTGTGTTATTTGGGACGCAGCTATAGTCTCAATGGACAGTGATTTTAATCAAGACAAATAGTACAACAGAAGCAAACACACTGCTTTAAACTTTCAATAATCTGTAAACGGCATGTAGAGCTCTGGGCTCAGGAAGTTCTCAGATATCATTATTATAAAATATAGATTTTTTTCTAAGTGTTTTTTTTATATAGCTGTAGGTTATATCTGCATTGTTAATAGCAAAACTCCTCTATTTGAAATAGAAATAAAAAAACAAGTTCTGAAAGAGATCAAGCCTCAGCCAAAAGTAGTGTAGTGCATTACTTACCATAAAAAGTAACCAATTAACGCAACCAGTTACGTTTTTGGGGAGTAACTCAACATGTAATGCATTACTTTCTTAAAGTAACTCTCCCAAACACTGGTTGTTACATGATGTAACTTGCATCCTAACAGGCTTCTCTTCCTCCTCACCATTTTTTGTTTGTTGTCAAAACTGACCGCTGGAGGGGCGTGGTTAAGTATGTTAGCCACGCCCAATACCTCAGACTGACGTAATCCGAGACTTTAGCTAAATACTAATAATTTTTAGATTTTAATTTTAGATTAAAAGACCATTTTTTTTCTTGATGACTTCCTCTGAGGAATTGTTCACCACAAAACTAGCAATGTGAGCTAACTTAATCATATGGTTAGTTTCACTCTCATGTGTCCGAATATTAAACCAACTCTACCTGAAGCTCCGCGGGCGGCTGGAGGAACTCACACCCATCCTGATCCCGGAGCGCCCGGCTCGCGCTCGGTACATCGGTCACCTCGAAGCACACGTTACTAACGGTGTCCACCGGGTAGTGCTCATGAGTCCCGAACACACAACCCGCGTCCCGGTGATCTCTGACAGCGCCGCAGTCACTCAGACTCGGTCTCTCGTTCACCACGAACACCGCGGATCCTCTGCGGAGCGCGAGCTGCTTCGCCCGGTCTGTCCGTCGCGCCGCGAACACGTTAAACTGGAACCGCGATACGAGCTCGTGAGCGACTTTATCCACGTTTGAAACCTGCAGGGAAATGTGGTGCAACCGGCTCAAGTAGGCCGCCATGTTTGGGATGACGTCACTAAGATGGGCGCGTCAAGCTGTCATGGAGTTGTCATACCCATATACATTATGATAAAAGCTACACTCTTAATATTTTATTTTTGTTTAAAGGTTTGCTTTATATGTATTTCTTGTTTAGCTTGTTGTATTTTAAGAATATTGTGCCCGTTATAATTATTTTTTTTACTTTATCCCCATGGTGTCCTTCATGTTCCTTCTATAGGAACATCTCCTAAAATATACCATTTACTGTTCAATAAAATAAATAATAATAATAATAATAATTCCTCAATTTATGTTTAACTCAGAGACTTTTTAAACACATTTCCAATCATAATAGTGTTAATAACTCATCTCTAATCACTGATTTATTTTATCTTTGCCATGATGACAGTAAATAATATTGGATATATATATATATATATATATATATATAAATATAC